AGCATTTTCCTGTAATCTGGATGAACGATCTTCAAACGTGTGCTTTCAAACTACTTAAATACCATATTCTTCTTCCTATCTTGCCTTTAATTTTTATGTTACCACAGATACTTTCCCTATAGTCTTGCCAGTGCTTGTAGAATGCTTAGAAAAAAGCCCGATAAACCACTGGGTTAAGTACACAAAGGAAGAGCTAGCAATTTAAAAAAAAAGAAGAAAGAAAGAGTTTTCTAAAATTTTTTATAGTTTTACTTTATTTAGATAAAGTAAATAACACATGAAGAAATATTTGCTTTATTTCAATAATTAGCTAAAAAGCAGCCCTCAAAAAAAAAAACCCTGATAATTTAGATTTCTGAAATGGTGGGTTTTTTTCCCTTCTCTTAATCATGTATCTTTGACAGTGTGCTTGTGTACTTCAAATAATACTCTAAAACCTCTGCCTTGTGCATCAAAGCAGCTGACTTTGGGAGAATGAGTTGGGGCCGTATCTCTCCATTTTACATGGAAAAGTGAATAATAAACACTGACCTGAGAGTAGTTTCAGATGTTTAGCTTGCCTTACACATTGTATGCACATTGTATGCACTCAGTTAATAGGTGATAATGATAATTAGATGGTATTATACAATCATTCACTCAACAAACATTCACTTGTTGAGCACCTACTAACGTTCCAGGTACTGATGATTAAAAGATGATTAGGACATAGCCTCTGTTCTTGAGCTCATAGTCTATAGGAGGTGACAGGTTTATAAACAATAGATTTGAAGTTGCTGAGCAATCAAAACCAAAAAAATAATCTCCTGGAGGAGCAAACATGTCTTATATGTCTTTGAATCAGTCTTAGCATAGTGCCTAGTTGTGCAAATGTAAAAGTGTGTGATAAAGTGTATATTATATGTACAGATCCCAAAAAAGGGAACAGAGTTATACAGAGAATTGACATGTAATGTCCTAGGTAAAAGACAAAAAAAAAAAAAAAAAAAATGCTAAGCTTGCTTTAAGTAAACCTATGACTATCTGAAATGGATGCCCTTAATTGATGCTAATACATATACAGGATAATAATTTTTTAAAAAAATTAAATTGAAAAGAGACTATTGGGACTCCAGACATGTAACATTTGACTAGAGGGGGAGGGGTCCTGAAGTTTAGGAACCTTTGTAATCCATGCCTCGCAGCTAGCTAGGCAGGACATGAATTACTAGACATTTCACAAAGGAGAATGTGAAGAATGTACCTTTAAGTTTGCCTTTAAAAGGGAGGGAGGGAGGAAGCTGTTGGCCAGGCTTCCACTGAAGCTAGTAATCTTGCAGAACTTGATTTTTACAGGATAATAGAAATTAGTGTCTTCATATACACTATTTCTTTCTTGAACAAGTAATAACTGGAGAATTTGTCTTCCCATGGCCAGACCTGAAATATAGAATCCAAATAAATGCTAGGCTCTGCAGTAATCATATGCCAATACTATAGAATCTCTTGTTTAATTTAAGGGTTGGGTTTTAGCGAATATTAGTTCTGCAGTATAAAGTACAGTAATTGGTGAATCACTTCTTTTAGCATGGGAAAAATAAGATTCACTTGTACTTTGTGCCCAATACAACCATACATTGGAACATTGGTTTAGTAGGAGGTTAGAGACAGGTTTGTGTGCTTTGGCAAGTGGACATAGTTTGTTGTGCAACTAACTGTTAGGCTCTGCAAGAAGAGGTCTGTTGCTGCTAGCAATAGACTCTCTCCCTTTGCTGCAACATTGCAAGTCGTGGATTAGTGCTTGTAACTACATTTTTTAGTGCCTACATTTAAGTATCTTTATAAGAGTTACATATTTTAAAAATGTAAGAAAAGTCTACAACTAAATTTTTCTATTCAGCATCGCCTAAATTCTCTAGTATTAGCTGTTTACGCTGTAATTTAGACTATGCTAACAGGTATTTCTGAATTGTTTGCTTGATTCTCTCATCTATTATCTCCTTTATAGGGAATGAAAGCTACTGGTTGACGAAAAATCCTTGGGCTTCTCAAATTTGGAGTCATCCCAGAATAAGGCACAATGTCAACAGCAGGAGTGGCTGCTCAGGAGATTAGAGCCCCATTAAAAACTGGATTTCTACATAATGGCCGAGCCATGGGGACTATGAAGACCTGCTGGGGCAGTCGCAGTGAGTTTGAAAAGTAAGTCAGAACTATAATGGCACTATAATCTGTATAAATTTGTGCTGTTAAAATGAGGTAAGAGAGTAGGATTGCTATTTGATTATGACCAAGACGTTTTTCCTTTCAGTAATTTTTTAAATATCGATCCAATAACCATGGCCTACCGTCTGAACTCCACTGCGCAGGAGCATCTAACACCTCTTGGTATGTATTCTGAACATCTGTGCAAAGCTAAGCATTTGAAGAGGAAGTTGGCAATCTGGATTAGTATTAGCGTGTCCTCCAGCATTATTTTTTTAAATGAGGAAGTGACCTAAACTCTTTCCAACAATAGTCTGACCCCTAGTGGCAACAGAGTCCAAAGATACTGTGTTTTTCACAAATTATTGTATCCCACTGGAGCTCTGGTAGCATAGTGGCTAAGACACTTGCCTGCTAACCAGATGGCTGGCGGTTCAAACCCACCAGCCACTCCTCGGAAGGAAGGTTGGGCAATCCTACTTCCGTAGTGATACTGCCTCGGAAACCCAAGGAGGGGTCGCTATGAGTCGGGGGCCGACTCGACAGCAAAACAACAACAAGAACAACAACCGTTAGCCTGAGTCACTGGTTCCTACCTAGAATTATTTGTAGAAGTGTGATCTTTTAAAATCAAGAATTAAGTTCTAATCCCAGCTATGATGCAGACTTAACTTTCAGAAACCTTGCACACAATCTCAAATCTTTCTTACTAGTATCAAATCATGTTTGAAACTGGTAGATGAAAGAAGTATAAATGTGAATAAAAACCTCATAAAGTGTGTATATGGTACTAAGTCCATTCTCGTACAGTATTGTGATGGTGCTAGCAGTAAGGTCCTTGTCTTATCTCAGTGGTGCCCGGCATGCTTTGCATTGTCGCATCTTTCAAAGGGCAAGGGCATAGTATGATATTCATGTAAATTATATGCCGCTCATCTTCTGTGAATTTTGCACACGTCATAAAAGTTGCCTGAGATGTGTGGGTGTGCACCATGCACATGTCCAAGGCAGATAGAAGAGATAATTTGTTCTTTGAACCAGATCATGTGCGTTAACAACCTTCTGGGCTCTAATTACAACTGTGGTTGTTGCATGGGTGTTCTCAGGGATGCGTCAGTCGAGTACTTAGCAGAAAGCTAAAGCAGCACAGGTGGCTGGGTCTGTACCTCACACAGATGAGGAGAGGAGTGTTGATGTTTTAGTAAGCATCTCTTGTTCATTCCAGGGCACACTTCAAAATCTGCACCAGTGAATGGGCACTACTTTGTAGAAAATGGTCCATCTCAAAAGTCCAGCTTGCCTCCTCTTATTATTCCTCCAAATGAAAACTTGGGACAACATGAAGAGGATCAAGTTGTGTGTGGTTTTAAGAAACTGTCAGTAAATGGGGTTTGTGCTTCTACTCCTCCACTTACACCCATAAAAAACTCACCTTCCCTTTTCCCCTGTGGAGCTCTTTGTGAACGGGGTTCTAGGCCCCTTCCACCACTGCCAATCTCTGAAGACCTCTCTCTGGATGAGACAGACTGTGAGGTAGAATTCCTAACTAGCTCCGATACAGACTTCCTTCTAGAAGACTCAACACTTTCTGACTTCAAATACGGCATTCCGGGCAGGCGAAGCTTCCGCGGGTGTGGACAGATCAATTACGCGTATTTTGACACCCCAGCCGTTTCAGCAGCTGAAGATCTCAACCACGCATCTGACCAAAACGGATGTGTCCAAAATTCAAATCCTCCTCCGTCTCAGAGCCACCGAAGACTAAGAAGATCTCATTCAGGACCAGCTGGATCTTTTAACAAGCCAGCCATAAGGATATCCAGTTATTTACAGAGAGCTTCTCCTAACTCTGACGAAGATAAACCTGAGGTTCCCCCCAGGGTTCCCATACCTCCTAGGCCAGTAAAGCCAGATTATAGAAGGTGGTCAGCAGAAGTTACTTCCAGTACCTACAGTGATGAAGACAGGCCTCCCAAAGTACCACCAAGAGAACCTTTATCTCGGAGTAACTCCCGCACACCAAGTCCTAAAAGCCTTCCGTCTTACCTCAATGGGGTCATGCCCCCTACACAGAGCTTTGCTCCTGACCCCAAGTACGTCAGTAGCAAAGCTCTACAAAGACAGAACAGTGAAGGATCTGCCAATAAGGTTCCTTGCATTCTGCCCATTATTGAAAATGGGAAGAAGGTTAGTTCAACACATTATTACCTACTACCTGAGAGACCACCATACCTGGACAAATATGAAAAATTTTTTAGGGAAGCAGAAGAAACCAACACAAGCAACCAAATCCAGTCCTTATCTGCTGACTGCAGTATCGTTTCAGCCACAGAAAAGCTGGACTCAAACACAAAGACAGACATAGGTGGCCATGTGAAGCGCAAACATTTATCCTATGTGGTTTCTCCTTAGACTTCGGGGTCATAGGAACAAATGGTTCTCAAGCAATATTCCAGTTTGATTGAGGTTCGCAGGAAGATCTTGTAGATTGCAGAGTAGTCAAACTTTCTCTGTCTTAAAGAGAAAAGTTTAGAGCAAGGTGTGAGGTGCTGTTATGTTGAGAATCCCTGATCTTGTTAGCATTGGAGAAAAGTCTGTTCAAGTCTATAATTTAAAGATGTGATGGTGGGAAGGGAGGGATGGGAAAACTTTTATATATGCATACATTATATACCTATATATAAACTTGTGGTATAACCATAGACCATAGTTGCAGATTAACCAATTAGTTACTATCTTAGAGTAATATATATTCAGAATGATAAAAACTCAAGCTGGAGAAATGACTCTTGATAGAATGAAAATTGAGCAAATGGAAGAAAATACAGTATTGTTTAGATCAGAATCATAAAAAAAAAATTATTTTTGTTTAGTAAGGTTGAAGTTCTGGCTTTTAGGCCTGTTATGTTTTGTTTCACTTATTTTTGCAAACAGTCTTTTCCACAGATGGCGGGACTGTATCAACCAAGTTTAAAAATCACCCCAAGGTCTAATACTTGCAGGTTTCGTGTTTTGTTTCATTGATTGGTGGGGGTAGGGGAAGCAGCTCATTTGGCAAACCATGTTATCACCTGTACATGTCTCACATTTTGAAAAATGAAAATGGAATTAGTAAATAATTTTTCCTTACAATCCTGCTCAATCTCGCCCATTAAAATGGCCCATTGCAATTGTGCCTTGCAGAGATGGTGGGGTGCAGTAGACTTGAATGGAAAGGCAGACTAGTTGCCAGTGTGGAGGGAGTCCGTTTTAAACAATAATGATGAAGCAGTTAGCTCTGTGACGAGAGGTTTTGTGTGGGGATGTGTGTTGTGGAGATGTTTTTGTTTTTGTTTTTCTTTTTTAAACTGTATTAATAAACAAATACAACACAAGCTGGCCTTGTGTTGCTGGTTCCTATTCAGTATTTCCTGGGGATTGTTTGCTTTTTAAGTAAAACACTTCTTCTGACCAATAGCACAGGATGTCTTAATACCAGAGGTCACATCAGCATCCTCCTGCTTTTAAAACTCTCCCAGGCGGCTGCTTCACTGCTTCCTTTAGATTCAGTGAGACACCTAGCTTGTGTTCATATTTTCATATGCTTTAATGTATTTATCTTGTATAGATAAGCACAAAAGAGAGGTGCTCACTAATGGAGGTACATTACTACAATGTTCTCTTAACAGTTCAACAAGCTGTTTACAGTTTAAACTGCTGAATGATAATTTGAGCTATTTAAAGCTTATTATATTTTAGTATGAACTAAATGAAGGTTAAAACATGCTTTAGAAAAATGCACTGATTTCTGCATTGTGTGTACAGTATTGGATAAAGGATTTTATTCATTTTGTTGCATTATTTTGAATATTGTCTTTTCATTTTAATAAAGTTACAATACTTATTTATGACACTGTTAATAATGTTTCTTGACTAAAGTCTTATAAAATGTCTCAAGTAATTTGACATATTACCATTTTTAAGTATCAGGGAAGCGTCTTTGTAGTTTAATATACACTTGAAATTTACTGGCATTCCCTAAATGACAAAAATTTGAATAGTTCATATTTAAATCGCTTAAAGCAATGTACATTAGAAATGTGCTGTTTGTACTTATCTTTAACAAGAAAGAGCTTGAATTGATTCTGGTAGGTTACTGTCAGTTACAATGTGGGGAGAAGGGTCCATTTGAAGGAAAATACATTGAAAGAAAATGACTTGATTTGACTCAATTTGAGTGTTAGGATGAGGTCCAGATTAATTTGGGCTCTTTGGGAGACTTTATTTCTTTTTGACGGGAGACCACCTAGGAATCCCAGCCTGCCCTGGCCTCTTTGGAGATGGAGTGCCCATAGCAAATCAAGTGTGCTTCTAGCAGCTGTCGGATAGAGGAGGAAGCTGGGATGCTGTTCGTGAAAGCACGTCTCCAGTTCTTTTCCCCTGCCTCTGTCCTGTTGCTGAAGTCCTGCTGCCCACCTTAGTGCTCTGCCCTCTCCTCCTCGGGATCCTGTGCTCATGGTGATGAGACTTGTAACTCTACAAAACCTTAATTGGGTACCTGCCCTGCCCTGCACTGTGCCCAACACACTAGAATTAAGAGGGAGGCATCCAAAATCAGACTGACCTGGGTTGAAATGCCAACTCTACCTCTTCCTAATTATGTGTTGAACAGGTTATTTAAAATCTCTGTACCTTAGTTTTCTCCTTGATTGGGGGCAGGGGGTGGAGGGTGGTGATACCTGCCATCAAATCTGTTCCAACTCAGTAACAACCCTATGTTGTTGCTGTTGTTATGTGTCGTTGAGTCGTAAAATGGGCCCATAGGGTTTTCAAGGCTATATTCTTTACGGAAGCAAACTGTCACACCTCCCACAGAGCAGCTGGTAGGTTTGACCCACCAGCTGAGCACTTAACCACCAAGCCACTGGGAGTCCTTGGGGGAGGGTGGTGATAATACCTGTGATGATGGGATCATTTTGTGACGACTGCATATAAACCACAGAACTGGCCAAAATAAATGGTAATTGGTTTGTGATCATGTTATTCTCAAATCAGCCTGAGAATTGGGTGTTACATCCAGCATTTTACAGATGAAGAAATAGGTGTGGGGAATTTATTCAGCAGACATTTGAACATCAACCACATGCTAGGTCTTGGAGAAACAGACACAGGCCTTACCCTTATGGAATTTAAAGCAGTACATAATTACATTTTATGATGACTGTTAAAAAGGCAGTGACAGAATAACAAAAGGGACCCCACCTCTCTGAGGTGATATTTAATAAGATTTGAAAGGTTGGAAGCTAAGCCTGAGGGGGAGAGGGGAGTGGAAAGGGAGGAGTATTACCAGCCTCAGAAAAGAGTGTGTGAGAACCTGAGGCAGGAAAAAGCTGGGTGTTGAATGGAGCCTGAGATCCATGGTAGACAGGACTTGCAATGGTAGAGGATGTCAGATGCTCACAGGGGCATAACATGATCTGATGGTTTGGAAAAGATGCTGTTGTGTGGAGAACAGATTGGAGAGAAGCAAAAGGAAACAGACGTAAGGATGGAGGCCACTGAAGTCCAGAGCAGAGATGTGAGTGCTTCGCAGCAGAGATGGAGAGAGGCAGGTGATTTGTTGGGGATGCTGAGGATGTAGAAACAGCAGGGCTCAGACCAAAGTGGGATTCACACCAACAGCGGATGGCTGTAAAGCCAGTGTATGCTTTCCACCCTTCTGACAGAGTGTAGCTCAAGGAACCCAGGGATGGTTTCCATCCCTACTCCTCAGTGCCTGCCACTGCCTGGCACGGGGGTGCTCCAAAACCATGTCAGTCAAGTATCTGAATGCAATACTTTCTGTCTTTTGCCTCTTTTTCTCCTTCCCTACCTTGTCTCTGTATTGTGGTCAAGAATATCTTTCATTTGTTGTGTATTTCCTTCCCTCTTGCCTTTATATTTTTCAAAAAATATACTTTAAAAAAATGTTCCTGACCAAGCAAATATGCCCAGCTGTTGTGCTAATGCCACGCTACTAGAACACATCTGTAACAGTTGCCCAACTCTCCTCCAAACCAGCACAGCAAATTGAGTTCTAAACAGTTCTGGTGGAGGACAGCCTGGGTCTTTCTGACACTCTTGAGCTGTTGCTCAGGCAGGTGCCAATGGGAAAACAGCTCTTAACTGCCACTTGGGACATTGTGTTCTCTGAGGTAGCAACCAGGAGCAAATTCTGGCCTTGCTCTTAGGTGCTGCAGTCTCAGCCTCTCACTCACATTCTACATGAAGGACTCAATTACGTCACCTTCCCCATCAAAATAAATGAGGCCATACGAGAACGCTTCACAATACTCAACAAATTTAATATTTGCCATTAGTTACTGTTTCACTGCAGGAATCAAGCTGGAGTTAAGAGGGCTCATTTGTAAGTCAATTCAAAATTTGGAAAAAAAAAGTAAGTCAACTTTTATAATACTGCAATAATCAAATATGTGTTGCCTATCCTCTTATTTTTAATAAATTCCAGAAATATGCTGGAATATAATGCTGCTATGTTGCTTACTTTTCTTGATCCAAGGGATATATCAACTATGTTATGAAAAGGAAGAACTATCTTTAACTAAGAGGATGTTTCTTCACTGATAGGAGCTTGATTCACAAAAAGAAGCCCACGGTGGTAGAGAGCAATCTGTACTTGACTAGCAAACCACATGCATATATCTGCTGATTCAAGAATACAAAACAGAAAGCAATTCTCAATTTTGGTTATTAATTTCATCACATCATTTATAGTTTTAGGGGCAATGGAGCTTTTTTTTCTTAAAAATGAGTAAGTGCCTACCACGGTATTTCATACATGGCTTTATATTTTGAAACAGAAGAAGTGTCAAAAGTAGTGCAGAGAGGTCCCCTGTAGCCATCACCCAGGCCCCCCAGTGACAACGTCTTGCATGCCTATAGTACATTATCAAAACCAGGAAGTGGACCTTGGCACAAGACTCTTACATAGTCTTTCACTTAGAAATAGCTGCTATCAAAATGGGCTTAGTTAGTTCATTTTTTAAAGTTAATTTAAAAATTGATTCTGGCATTCTGTTAGGCATTTTGTAAAAAACTGATGAAACTCTAAAAATGTTGCCATGTGAAATATCTGCATTCTGGTAACTGCAAAAAAGGCATGGGGCCAACATCTAACCTTTAATTTCACAAGGAAGGAAAGGAGCAAGATCAACATCAACAGCCCAAGGCTGATTCCTGTGAGACGGAGGTCAGTCAGACATGCCACAGCCCTCGAACCTTTTTACCAATTCTCACACCAACCGTCCATCCCATAGCACTCTACTACTTCTTGCTGTTGTTGTGTGCCATCGAGTCGGACCCAACTCATAACGACCCCTCCATGGGTTTCCGAGGCAGTATCACTCCGGAAGTAGATTGCCTAACCTTCCGAG